TTACAAAAATTAGTACCATCATCAGGAGTTGAAAGATGCAGGGTCTGGTGGTTGCCACCAGATCTCTCTTTAACTCTTATCTGGCTAGTGGAGAGGATAGATCAAGAAGAATGACAGTTGACTATTGAAAAATTCAACCAGAGCTGGCTGTGGTGGCACACACCTTTAAATTCAGCACTTGGGAGGCAGAGGCAGGTGGATCTTTGTGAGTTTAAGGCCAGAGTGATCTACAGAGTAAGTTCCAGTATAATCAAGGCTACACAGAGAAACCGTCTCGAAAAAAAAAAAAAATCATCAGGTAGTGACTCCGATTGTAGCTGCTGTGCCAGATGTGGGCCTTACTGGAACAGATTAACAGAAAGGACTCACAGCAGGCTTTTTATAAGAAAACTAGAAGGCAAGGGGAGGGCAGGGTTACATCTTGGCTAGCCAAAAAAACTATTATTAGCTGACCTTTCAGCTTACTGGCCCCCAGCGAGGCAAGTGAGGTGGGGGTTAGGGTCTTCTAGGGTGCATCCAAGTGTGGAGATAACAGAACACGAGTAATGACACAGGAGTCATAGGAAGATAGGAGGTTAACTTGACCTTTTGGAAGGGTTTCTTCATGTCAGCTATTAATAACTCCCTCTAGGAAGCAGAGTTTAACGTTTTGAACTTAATTTAACTTATAAACAAAATGGAGACTGAATACAAAATGTTCTCAGCTTTGTTACAAAGAGCAGGCCCTATTAGTGGTGGGAGGGGCCGCACACAATAACTTTTCCTTCACCTAAGAAACAGTAACTTTCTGTGGCCCTGATCGTGATCAGCCTAGAATAAGTGCTCAATAAACCATCAAAATCTAACTGAGAGCAGCAAGTGATACTTTGTGCAGCTATTCTTGGACTATACCAACCACCAAGAAAGAAGTACATACTTTAGTGTGCCTATTTGTATTCTAGAGATAGCACGTTCCCCACTCAGGTGTTACTCCTGCTCATTTAACAAGTGACTTAGAAAGCTGCTAGCTTTGTGTGGGGCAAGAAACAGAGGGCGGCTCTTCAACAGCTCCAGGCTACTGTGCAGGCTGCTCTACCCTTGGACCACATGATCCAACAGACCTGACAGTACTTAAGGCATCGGTGGCAAATATGGATGCTGTTTGGAGCCTCATGGGGTATGCCTGGCTGAGGAAGAGAAAATTAAGGCCTGGTTTACTGAAGATTCTGCATGTTATGCAAGCACCACCCAGAAATGGACAGCTGCAGCATTACAACTCCTTTCTGGGACCACCTTGAAGACACAGTGAAGGAAAATCTTCAGTGGGAAGAAATTCAGGCTGTATACATGGTCTGGCTGGATGTTCAGGAACTTAGAAAGAGCATGATGATGAGAAAGACCCCTGAAGAAGAAATATGAGGATAATCTCTCCAAAGCATGTGAAGATATTGTGTCACATGTAAATGCTCATCAAAAGGTGACGTCGGCTGAGGAGTTCAATAATCAAATAGCCAGGATGAACCCATTCTGTAGCCTCTTTCTCCATCCATTCCTGTCATTGCCCAATGGGTCCATGAACAAAGTGGCCATGGTGTCAGGGATCAAGGTTATACATGGCTGACCTGGCTACCACTGCTGTTGAGTGCCAGATCCCATATATGCCAACATTCTCCAGGGTGACCAGCCAGCCACCTGGTGGGAGGTTGACTACACTGGACCACTTCCTCTATGGAAAGGACAATGCTTTTTCCTTATTAGAGTAGATGCTTATTCTGGGTATGGATTTGCCCTTACTGCACATAACACTTCTTCCAAAACTACCCATGGACTTAGAGAATGTCTTAATCTTTGTCATGGTATTCCATGCAGTATTGCCTCTGACCAAGGAACTCACTTCACAGCCAGAGGAGTGTTGACATCAGGCCCACAATCTTAAAACCTATTGGTCTTACCATGTTCCCCACTATCCTGAAGCAGATGGCCTGATAGAAAGATGGAATGGCCTTTGGAAGACACAATTATAGTGTGAACTAGGTGTCAGCAGCATGGAGGGCTGGGACAGGGCTCTCCATTAAATGGTATATTCTTTGAGTCAGTGTCCAGTATATGGTGTGATTTCTCCCATAGCCAAGACCCACAAGTCTAGGAATCAAGGGGTGGAAAAGGAAATAGTTCCAATCACTATCACTAGTGACTGTAGGGTTCAGGGTGAAAACAAACAAAACAAAACAAAACAAAAAAAACAAAAAACAAAACAACTCACTCCAGATACAGAAGCTTAAAAGAAAAGCTTTATTTTCTGAGCTCAGGGAGGCTCCCACTTTGGGATCTGACCACATCCTCAAGAGGAAGATATATTGCATAGATCAAGGGGGAGAAGGGTGGGCAGCCTGGTTTACAGAACTAGTTCTAGGACAGCCAGGGCTACACAGAGAAACCCTGTCTAGAAAAAACAAAAACTAAAATAATAACATCTAAGGCCATGTGACCAGTTACAGAAATAAGGATTATAGTTGACATGAGTGTTTGTCAAATTTTTTATCATGTGATATAGCATCAATTAAGAGAATATCAATGGTTATCATAATTACGTTTGAGATAGTAGAAGAATGTCCCTCAAGGGACATTGTCACCTATTCTAAATTTATAATGTGTTCATGGTTGTATGCATGATAGTTATGTTAAGTGTTGTGACCTGGTTAAATGTTTGTAGTTATATGTGGAATAATTTTTTCATTTGGAAATTAATCATGACATAAGAAAATATAATTGTGCGCCTTCTTTTGTGTGTATTTTTGAGACAGGGTTTCTCCATGTAGCCTTAGCTGTCCTGGACTCACGTTGTAGACCAGGCTGGCCTCGAACTCAAGAGATCCTTCTGCCTCTGCCTCCCAGAGTGCTCAGCTCACAGGTGTGTGCCACCATACCTGGCTTATAATTGTCTGACAAAAGTTTGACAAAACATGGACTCAGTGGCTATTCTTGGTTGTCACCTGGACTTAACTAAAATTCAAAACTGGAGAAGACACCTGTGAGAAACTCTGCTTAATATAAAGCAGGTAGGTCCACTTCTAACTTTAATTGGGATCTTGAGATGGGAAGGCACACCTTTAATCCGGCCCACACCTTCTGCTGGAAGCCTATATAAGGACATGGAAGAAGGAAGCTTTGCTCTATGCCTGCTCATCCTCCCCTTGCTAGCAAGTCCATTTTTCACTGGCATTAGAGCCAGCTTCTTCAGATTCCAGGGTATCCTGAAGACCAGCTCAGATATTCAGCACATCTGGCTGGACTGAACAACTACTGCGTTCTTGGACTTACTGTTCACAGCTAGCTGTTGTTGGATTCGTTGGACTGCAGCCTGCAAATCATTTTAATAAATTCTATAAGTTCTGTTATTCTAGAGAACCTTGACTAATATAGTCTCAAAAAAAAAAGAGCAAAAACCTGAACCAAAACAAAACAAAAGCCCAAACCATTAAATAACATAATGAAGAATTAGGCTGAAGAAATTGTTTAGTGTTTAAAGAGCCCTGCTGCTCTTACAGAGGACCCAAATTCAGCTTCCAGCACCCACAAAGCAGCTTGTAACCATCTGCAACTCCAGTCCCAGGGAACACAATGACCTCTTTCTGGCCTCTGTATACATGAGGCACATGTGGTACACACACATACATACAGGCAAAATATTCATGCATAGAAGATAAAAATAAATATAAGCTGGGCACATACAAGATTGTAATCCCAGTCTTGGAGAGGCAGATGCAGACAGATCTCTGTGAGTTTGAGGCCAGCCTGATCTACAAAGTGACTCTAGGACAGCCAAGGCTACACAGAGAAACCCTGACTCAAAAAACAAAACCAAACAAATTAATTAGTTAATTAATTAATCTCCAAATAAATACTATAATGATTCAAATTTCAGTAATGCAAAATACTGCCAACATGTATGTGCACTGTGGTCTTCTAGTTTTAGAAGATGCGGTTGCGCTGTGTCGCACCATTCTCAGCCTTTTCTATCACTGATGTTAAAAATCTGGGAAATTGCCTCTTGAAAAGTAGTTGGACCTGGGGATGTGGCTCAGTGGCAGAACATTTGCCTACCATGAACGAGGCTCTGGGTTTCATCTCTAGCACTACCAACTTTTGCCATTTCCGATTTCTGTCAACCCTTTCTTATGATCTGTGTAAAGAAATCCCCCTTTGAGCTCCGGGATGTTGCTGAATTAGTGTTTGCCCTTCTTACACAAAGCACAGAGTTCAAGCCCTAGCACCACATAAAACTGTGTGTAGTTGCACACACCTCTAATTCCAGAATTCTAGAGACCCGAGGACTAGAAGCTTAAAATCACCTTGGGCTGTATAGCTGGTTTGTGGCGAGCCTGGGTTATATGAGGCTCAGATCTAGAAAGGTGCCATTTTTCAGGTCTAAACATTTATGTGGACATCTCCATTTTGTGCCCCAAGCCTCCCTGGAAGGGTAGTCTGTGGGCCTGGGTCTGAGCATGCCCACTCTAATGGAAGGTAGAGCGACAGCCCATCTGGCTCCTCTATGCCAAATCTCTTTTTCCCAGAATACCTCTTTGAGTTAGGATTTTGGTACAGGTGGGGTCAGCATGGAAGGCCATAGGTGGGGGTGAGATATTGGGAGGCTTGTAGTCTATCCTGGGTTCTCCTGAACCTATGACAGCCACTTACAGTTCAATGACCTTTGTCAGCCAGTCCCTACCACCTCATGGAAAAGAAAAGCAGGAATCTCCAGGGCTATATTCAGGAATGCACAAACACTACAATGGACCCGAGTCCCAGAGCTGCTGTCTTATCAGACAAAAACAGGTGGCCCTGGAGTTCTATGAAAAAACTGGGAAAGAAGAACATTCTCCCCTTACTGGAGAGATCTCTAAACAGCATTCTGGCTCAATGTGCCAAAGAACTGGAAATTCACCGTGACTAGGTTATAACACATTGAGCAATGCAGGTTTTTCTTGTATTTCCTTAGCAATTAGATTTCTTTACAGAGGTTTTACTTGTATCAAAATTTTTATTTTATTTCAAGTAATTTTCCAAACTTTCAAATGCAAAGTTTAAGTGAAATCTTCACTCAGAGATACAAAGGGTTAATGAATTACTAAGTCTTTCCTCTCTTTCTTTCTTACACACACTTATTTACATACACACACACAAACACACACTTTGGATGCAAGCTTGTTCCATCGTTTCAGCAGGGCCAAGGCTGATGAGCTCACTCTATTCCTGCTGTGTCTACACTAGCAGGAAATAAAGGTCATCTTCAGCTCACTCCATACTTATGATGGCAGCACTTGGCATAATTATACCTGCTTTTATACTTCAGAACAGGACAATAAAGATTATTCATTATAAAGTGTGAGAGCATTTTACAAAATGTTTCTTTGAATAGACCATACTAGATTTATTGTACAGATTAAATTATTCAAAACAATATCACAAGCAGTGCTCTCAGCTCAGATTAGTGGAAATTCCTTTCAGTCCCCTGCTCACAGAAAGAACTGAATTTCCAATGATCACGACAGGAAACAAGCTAGCTAGCCATCATTCTCTCTTGGCTTGACGCTTTCTTCGGGTTTACTCTGAAACCGACCAACTACTCAATGAGAAACTGTGATTGGATCCTAGGTTTTTCTCTTTATTTTGTATGTGTAACTATCTATGCCTATGATAAAAACCTATCCTTGTTTTCCTAAACTTGACTCATGGGACTGGCCCCAACAATCCTGGCTTGGGGAGCCTGTCAGTCAGTGAGGTTAAGGCTACTGACCATGATGACCTTCTTTGTTTATTTGTTTTTTGGAGATAGGGTCTCTCTATGTAGTCCTGGTTGTTTTGAAACTCACTCTGTAGACTACTCTGGTCTTGAACTCAAAAATCCACATTCCTCTGCCTACCATGCCCAACCTACATGGGTGTCATGTCACCTGGAATTATATGCAAGACATTCACTCCTGTTACCCACAGTAGTCTGACTCTCCCAAGTCCCTGTAAGAAGAGTGGCTGGGTGTTGGCCACACAGTCCTGACCTGGGCAGCACTCAGCTGCCATGGTGCCAGAGACAGAGGAAAAGGGAGTCTGGCTGAAGCCTTGACACACAGAAGCAGCACCTTGCTTTACCAGGGGTAGAAATGAGTCCCTTGCCTCTTTGACTGCCACAGCTTGTATGTCAGGTAGACTCACAGGCTCTTTTGGGGCCTTGCTGATGATCATAACACTTGGGTTTCCAGCTGTCGGACTTCCTTGACCACCAGATCAATGTTAATAATTGGGTTGAAGTACAGAGCCCAGTAAAATAAACAGTTGCAGACAAACTGAGGAATAAGTGGCCAGAACATGGCCATGAAAAGCCCCTGCGTCGACACTTTCCAAAAATGGCTCCACATCCTCTGGGGCACTGTCCTGGAAACAAACAAACAAAACAAAACAAAACAAAGAAGGAAAGAATGGTGGGGGATGGGCTTAAATATGGTGGGGCACTGAGAGTCTGCCCCTACCACCTGTTCCGACACTTGGAAAACACCTCTGCCTCATCAGTCTTAGCTCCTAGCACCTGTCCTTTAAAGGCGTTCTCTGAGCACACTGGCACAGCCTCTATTCTACCTGCTTTGTGGCTCCTACTCCTCTTTCTGGTTTTTCAAGACAGATGTAGCCTTAGCTGTCCCGGAACTCACTGGGACAGACCAGACTGGAGAGATCCACCTGTAGCTGCCTCTCCAGTGCTGGGACTAAAAGTGTGCACCACCAGTGCCCAGAAGATTTTGTTTTGTTTTGTTTTGCTTTTTCAACACATGTTTTCTCTATGTACCCCTGGTTGTCCTGGAACTCTAGACTAGGCTGGCCTCAAACTCACAGAGATCTACCTGTTTCTGCCTCCCAATTACAGTCATGTGCTACCATAGCCTGGCAATGACACTTTTTTTTTCTTCCCTGAGACCAAGTCTCATATAGCTCAAGCTGGCCTCAAATTTGCTATGTAGCTAAGGATGACCTTGACCTTCTTCTCATCTTCGCCTCCTGAAGACTGGGATCTTCAGGCATGTGCCACCATATCCTGTAAATGTGGACTGGGGATGAAATGCAGGCAGGGACAAAGCACAAGCACAGATATTCGTATTTTCTAATGAATAAATGAGTCTGCTGAAAGGAAGCAAGAGAGTCAATCTTACAACTATTTACAAGGCCAGAACTCTTGTGAGAGATTGGACACCAAAGTGAGAAAATGTGATGGCCTGTCTGCTTGGAGCTGTTTTCCTAAACAGTCTGAATTGCTTTGGAGGTGCCTGCCTTGTCTATCTGGGGAATGTGAGCATTCTGGCCCCTCCTTCCTATATTTTTACCATGTGGTCTGAATTAGACACATGCTTCATACCTTGAGCTTGGCCATGGAAAGCCCAGCACAGTCCTGCAGTGTGACATATCTGGGTGGGCACATGATTCAAGCTAGACCAATCAGACTAAAGGCTTTGTTTCAAGTGTGATGGGAAAAGTAGTGCTTGCTCTGTACTGGCACTGTTAGGCCAACCTCTGGAGTAGGCCATGAGATGCAAGAAGAGTTCAGATGAACTGAGTAGCATAGGGAAGGTCAGCCTGTGATGGCGGTGGTCCTGAAAGGCAGCCTTGAGGAGTCTCTGGATCTGTGGTGGTTTGAATAGGTATTGCCCCACAGACTCACATGTTTGAATGTGTAGCCCATAGGAAGTGGCACTATTAGAAGGTGTGGTCTTGATGGAGGAAGTGTGTCACTGTGGGGCAGGCTTTGAGGTCTTATATGATCAAGCTATGCTCAGTGTGATACAGTCTCCTTCTGCTGCCTGCTCTTTCTCTAGCACTATGCCAGCTTGTATGATGCCATGCTTCCTGTTATAGTGATAATGGACTAAACCTCTGAAACTGTAAGCCAGCCCCAATTAAATGCTGTCCTTTATAAGAGTGTCTGTGGTCATGATATCTTTTGACAGCAATAAAACCCTTAAGAGATCTATTTGAAAACTGGGTAGCCCAATTCTCTCATCATACATTAATCCAGATAAGTCATTTACTGTCCCAAGTGCTGGCAAAGCAGATTTAGAACACTACAAAATTCCTCATGGTACCTCTCTGGCCTTTACAACATTGCTCTTTTCTCTACCTGCTTTTCCTTGATTATTAAATTATTAAAATCCTTCAAACACTGGCCCTCCTAGATATTATCTGGCTTATTATTAAATAGGGGTGAGATATGGAAGCCAGGCATGGTAATACATGCTTGTAAAAACAGCACTTGGCAGACAAAGGGCAGGTTCGTAAAGTCTGAGACCAGCTATGAGCTACATATGCATAACACACACACACACACACACACACACTTAAACAATTAGCACAAAGAAAGAACTGGACATGGTGGTGCAGTTCTTTAATCCCCGCCTTTGAGACCTTGGTCTACACAATGAGTTCTAGGCTAAAGAGACAGAAAGCAGGACAAAATAAATACACACACGCACACACACATACATAATAACTACACATGCATATAACAAAATCAATAAATATAAAAAAACAAAAACCTAAAAACTAAACAAAAGAAAACCAGCAATCACAAAAAGCCAGGTATACTAGTACCTGCTTTAGTTCCAGCTATTCAGAAGCCTGAAGTGTAACCAGGTTGAGGCAATAAACAGTAAGAGCCCCTGCTGGCTAGCTGGTTTTTTTTTTTTTTTTTTTTTTCTCCCTTTTTCTGTCAACTTGGTACAAGCTGGAGAAGAGGGAACTTCAACTGAGAAAATATCTTTTAAAGTTTGGCCTGTCGGGCATTTTTTCTTTTTCTATTAATGATTGATGCTGGAGAGTCTAGCACACTGTAGGCCATGCCATTCCTGGGAAGGTGGTCCTGGGTTGTATAAGAAAGCAAAGTCTGGGCACATTGGCACTCAATCCCAGCACTCAGGAGACAGAGGCAGGCAGATCTCTGTGAGTTTGAGGATAGCGTGGCCTATAAAGTAAGTCCAGGACAGCCAGAGCTGCACAGAGAAAACCTGTCTCAAAAAAACAAAAGAACAAACTGAATTAAGTCAATGGGAACAACAGGGTAAGCAGAACTCTTCCATGGCCTCTGCTTCAGCTCCTGTCCTGACTTCCCTGATGACAGACTACAAACAGTAAACTGAAATAAATCCTTTCCTCCCCTGGGGCTAGAGTTACAGGCCATTGTAGGCTGCCTGAAGTGGGTGCTAGGGATTGAACTCTAGTCCTCTACAAGAGCAGCACTTGCTTTGAATTGCTGAGTCATCTTTATAAGCCCAGAATCACCCCCACCACCCCAAGTCTGAAAAAGACTTTAAAGGGGAACTTCTTCATTGGTATTTCTTTAGCACTCCCTGTTGCTCCAACCACTTCCCAAAGAAAGGCACTTACTTCAGCTCACTTCTTGACCAGATCCTCCAAAAGGAGAACAACTCCAGAACAGACAGCAGCATGGCATTGACAATAAGGAAGCGTGATGTCCAGTAGTGGATCTCCAGCCAGTCCCAGGCAAACTCCGCAATCAACTGGTATGGGAGAAAGGAGTACTTGACAAGGAATTCTCTCCACTGCCTCCATGTGGGCTCCCTCAGGTCCTTAAAGAACACACAGAGACCCAATCACAGAACTGACATACACAAGTAATGGTGATGGGTGAGCTTTACATTTATGTACACACACATGTGCATGTGCATACATATATACACACACACCTACTCTAACAATTTTCAAATAGCATCTCGTTATATAGCTCTAGCTGGCCTTGAACTCACATTTTTCTTGCCTCAGTTCAGAGCCCTTGGATTAAAAGCATGTTCATGGCTTAAAATAGAATATTAATCTATCAATCTCCCTTGAAATAATTCATCTTAAAATAGATAAAGGTGAGGCTAGAAAAATGGCTTAATGGTTAAGGATGCATGCTGTCTAGGCACGAGGACTGGAGTTTGGATCTACCATATTTCATAAAACCCAGTTATGGTCCTTCACATACCTGTAACCCCAGCCCTGAGATAGGTGGTGACTTGAGGATCTTTGGAGCTTGCTTCCTGGCTGCCAGCTTAGCTGAAAAACTTGAGCTCCAGGTTCAGAGAGACTCTCTCTCAAAGGAGCAAAGTGGGAGCTGATAGAAGAGATCACCTTCCATGGGCCTCTGCACAGGTTCGTGCACCTGTACACAGTTGTGTATACTACACATATACACCAATATCATATTCATACACACACAAAAAGGTCAAAAATGTAGATAAATGTTGCCAAGCTGGGAGCGGCAGTGCACAGCAGCAGAGCCAGAAGCAGGCAGATCTCTGTGAGTTTGAGGCAAGCCTGGTCTATAAAGTCCAGGACAGTCAAAGCTACACAGAGAAACCCTGTCTCAAAAAAAACAAAAAAAGAAAACAAAAACAAACAAACAAAAAACAAACAAACAAACAACAAAACAGATAAATGTTGCCAAAAAGTTTGAACTGAGATGCTTATTGTAAAGTTGTGGAAGCTCAGAGATAAAAATCTTAATAAGCCTGAGTTACAAATAATAAGGTTGAAATAAATTTAGGATTTGTGTTCTATTCCTCTGTGTCTACACGGGAAGATCAAAACACGTCTAGAGTTAGAGTTAAATATCTTAGCTATAGCAAAATGATGACATGATGGGTTAATGAAAAGCAGACCTAAATATATACCTTAAGAAGTAATTTCTTGATAGTGTGTACTTAAACTTTTAATTAGGTATTAGCAGATAAAAAGTTAGCTTGATGAACGGTCAGGTTAGTGCTTGTGAAAATACAAACATTTTAGAGCTTCTGTGCACAGTCTAGCTGGAATCTGGGTAATTAGATTAAATCTGTAAAGCAGATTTTATACTGCAGTCACAGCAGACAGAACCTTGGCTACAGTATTTAAAAGGGCCTCTGGAGACGTAGAAATTTTGCTTTAGCATTCATAGGTGTGAATTACAGATCATCATTCCTATATAAATGTCACTTTTTGAGAAAGACAGACTATAAGGATTACCACCAGTAACATACAAAGATTACTCTCAAATGACCAACTAAAATCAGAGAAGCCATCCCAGTAAAAGGAGTCCCACAGGGTTTGGGGAATGACACATGACGCGGAAGAAACAACTGGCCAATGCTGGTAGTCAGACCCTGGGCCATGGCTTTCTACTGGGAGGCCCTCTACTGGGAGGAAGATCCCAACCCTGCTTTGTAGAAGGCTAACTACTAACCCTTTAGCGGTCCTACCAAACTTGAAGGCCCCTACATCTAGTCTCGTAGGGTGGTCTGGGCCTACAATAACTTCTTTTATAACAAAAGCAATGCTTTCTTCTTCTGCTGCTGCTGCTTTTTCTTCTGCTGCTGCTTCTTCTTTTAAATTTATTTAATGTTATTTTACATGCATTGGTGTGAGGGTGCTAGACCTCTGGAACTGGAGTTACAGACAGTTGGGAGCTGCCATGTAGGTGCAGGTCCTTTGGAAGAACAGACAGGCCTCTTAACCACTGAGCCATCTCTCCAGCCAAGCAATGCTTTTTTTCAAAAAATATTTCAAGAGTAAAAGGGTCATCACTCTGGCTGAATAGTGCAGAAAAAAAAAGCTAGCTTCCATGAGAGGGCCAGTCTTTTTTTCCTTCTGCAGGGAACTCTCCCTGCAAAACTCACACAAAGGCTATTGTACTCTCTCCAGTTTTGTACAACACTGAGGTATGGTAGAATTACTTTTTTCCAGGAACTAAGATAGACCTACCAGAATCTTGGTGAGGATGTCCTCCCCAGAGCTGTCTTCCTGCAGAGGGCAGATGGTATGGATGAAGGGTAGGAAGGAGTCTGTGTAGTCAAATAAGTACAGGTATAGCAAGCCAAGTCTTGGTGAGCTCTTGAGGGCATATAGCAAGAATAGGGACCTGCCTGGGTTGACAGCCTGCAGAGGACAAGACAAACATCAGATCATACATGGTGGCCAGCTCTCCTTCAATGTCCCATGACCTTTGCCATCAGTCTTCTGTGTGGTATAGAGCCCATTTGATGGAGCATACTGTAAAAAGCTTTAGTCTTGCTGCACATGGTTGAACACATCTCTAATCTCTGCAGACCAGGCTGGTCTCAATTCAGAGATACACCTGCCTCTGGGATTAAGGGTATATACCATTACTGCTCCCTTAAGCTGTTTCTAATGTGTTGCTATAACTAACTACATTCAATAATTTTTTTTTTCTCATCCAGTCTTGGTGATGCATATCTGCAATCACAGCACTTAGGAGGCTGAGGTAGAAGGACAGTGAATTCCAGGTCAACTTGGACTACAGAGACAAAACAAAACAACTGTGACCCCCCCCCCCGTGATGACTCAATTCAGAAGGTACAAACACAGGAGTGCCCTCCTTCAAGTTATATCAAATAGACGAAAGCCACTTGATTGTTCCATTTGCACCTCTTGAGCAACAAGCCAATATTTTCCATTATAGTTTAAGAGTTACGTAGTTTCATATTTCTTTACAATGGCTCTTTCAACATTCATGTTTGTATATTTCAAATAATTGTCTGTCTGTCTTTGTCTTTCTGTATGTACATATATGAGTGCTCTATCAGCATATTCACCTGCATGCCAGAAGAGGGATGATCACATTATAGATGGTTGTGAGCCACCATATGGTTGCTGAAAATTGAACTCAGGACCTCTGGAAGAGTATATAGTGCTCTAAAGTTCTGAGCCATCTCTCTAGCCCTAATACTTGCTCTTGAGTACAGTATACATTACATTCTGTTTGTGAAGTAAAATTAACTGACATAGTTACAATGAAGATCACATTATCAAATATAGTAAGATGAAGCTGTGTATTATTTGTGACCTAATAATTCCACACCTCTACATATGCTGTAAATAAGTGCCTGTATTTATGAGCTAAATAATGAGGAGAATGTCTAGAGTGCCATTAGTAATAATGAAAGCAGAAAAGCTGCTATTGTCCATCAACAGGAAAATCTACACATTTGTCACAATATCCAATGAAGGATTACATCAAGAGAAAAAGCAAGGGGCATAGGAGAAGAAGAGGTAAAGAGGGTGGGATTGGGAGAGGGCTACAGCTGGGATACAAAGTGAATAAACTGTAATTAATAAAAATAAAATAGAAAAAGCATAAACTGGAGCACCAAGGAGAAGCAGCTACTTGTAGAAAACTATGTATGCTTCTTGTCTTTTGCCTGTGAAACAATTTGTCCTCCAGAGATTATGGGCAGAGGCCTGAGAGGCCTGTGCAGTCCCTACTGCAGGAATGTGGTACCTCTGGAGAGAAGTACTTGTGCCTTCAATGTCTACAATGTTTTCTTAAGTTAAACAGTGGGCAGGACGGTGATTGCTAGTTGTTTCTACCTTTTCTGTTTATGGGTCTGTTTGTTTTCCAATTAAAACCTACAACCCAAGAGTTTACCTTGTACTCCCAAAGATTCTGCGGTGGCTTCACCCCCAGGGCTCTCACACGCTCCAGTTCCATGAGAATGACTCTTCTGTGGCTACTGTTTTCTATGGTGTACGGTGCCCTGGAAAATTCTTCTTCTGTCAATGTCAAAAGCAACCTGGAGAGGTGAGGGGTGGAAATGGCTTTTGAGATTACACATGGGAGGAAAGCCTTACACACAGAGGTCTGCCTTACTATGCAAACATATGCTTGCTTGGTAAGGTAGAATGTTAAAAATATGCAGCGGTGCTGATGACTGCCAAGAACAGTTTGTTTACTACCAGCCAATTTCCAGGGGGAAATATTTTCATAAATCATTGTCATTATCTACTTAGCTCTGCAGAGTAGCATCATGGATCAAAAACTGGCTTCAGATTTTTCTTAAGCCACCAATGTCATTTACAGATTCTTACTGTCCTATATTAATTTTTAAAAGGGTGTGTATAGGAGAAAACCAGAAGGAAGTCAATCCGAACATTATTACATTAAGAGTAGTGGTTTCAGCTGGATTCAATATTGTACATCTGAAATACTAGTGACCTGGAAGGCTGAGGCAGAAGGATGCTAAGTCTGAGGCCATAGAGATCTCAATCTCAAAAAAAAGAAACAGTGGTTGTAGTGGGATACTTATTCAATTTAATAAAAGTTATAAATCCCTTTTTAGTTTAGGGGCTAGAGAGATGGTTCAGTAGCTAAGAGCGCTGGCTACTCTTCCAGAGGGCCTTGACTCAATTCCCAAACTGATATGGTGGGTAATGACTGTGTAACTGCAGGTCCAGGAGATCGGAAGATTCTCTTCTGAGCTCAGAAAGAGGCAGGTGTAATCACGGTGCAGATAAACGAAGGCAAAACCCACATCCACATTAATAAATGAATTTAAAAGTTACTATAAAAGTATATAAAACAAAACAAAAAAAATGCAAAGCCAAAACAAATAAAAACTCAATCTACTTCTATAACAACTCATTGTTAACAACATCCTTGTATAGTGATGGATATAGTTCAGTGGTAGGGAATTTAAACACTGAGTTCATTCCTATAATTATAGCACATGGGAGACTAAGGTGGAAGAACTGAATACCCAGGATCAGCCTGGGAAACACTGTCTCAAAACAAACAAACAAAACCAACCCCAACAACATATTTATTAACTGCATAAACAGAGAAAGCAAGGGCTGGGGAGGGCTTCGATGGCAGAGAGAGCAGCGGGCATATTCAAAGCCCTATGTGATCCCCAGCAGGACAACCTGTTGTGGGATATTTGATCCCATTGGAAAACCTATTTCTTGTTTGGTATGGTTCAGCCCTAATATACACCTTTAATCCAAAAATTTTGTTTACTGTAAACAGGTGATTCTGGTGTGGCTCAGCCCTAGCACATAGAGCTTTCTGTACACAGGATTTAATAAAGTTAACCCTAGGTCAAGAGGCAGGGCAAGTAACCAGATGTAGGGATCAAACAGGAAGGAAGGTCTTTGAGTTGAAAGGTATTTAAGACACTGTAGAGAAGAAGAAAATACTTTTTGGCTTTTAGCTTTTGGCTTTTTCCTCCTGGGCTGTCAGCAGAACTAGCAAGCTTTTGGTCTTGAGCTTTTGGCCTTTTCCTTTGGGACATAAGCTGAGTAGGAAGGTCAGCTGGTTACTTTCTCTGCTTCTCTGAGCTAGCAGGTTTTCACCCCAGCATCTGGCTTCTGGGTGTTCAATGATAAAATCGAATGATTTGGGATTTTCATTCTTTAAAACAACGACATCCTGCCAAGAAAACACCTTCAGATTTGGGAAATACGTCTAATAAAAAAAATTTTTTTTCAGACAGAGTTCAACTGACCTTGAATTCTGACCCTCCTAACTCTATTTTCCAAGTGCCGAAATGACAACTGTGCTCAGTTATGTCTATTGTAATATTAACAGTAATATTCTGTGAAGAGTAACAACATAAAGTCGTTGCTCTTTTAATGGCATAATGTCCTACTTTTTGCTTTTTTTTTTTTTGAGACAGGGTTTCAAAAAAACCACAGGGCTACTGTGTAGCCCTGGTTGTCCTGGACCTCACTCTGTAGGCCAGACTGGCCTCAAACTCAGAGATCCATCTGCCTCTGCCTCCTGAATCCTAATATTAAAGGTGTGTGCCATTATCACCCAGTTATTCTTTTTAAAATAAAGTTACTTTCATAATGAGAAGTAAAACAGAAATTAAAATGTCACTGATATAAAATGGTTCAGCCCCTGTAGAAAACAGTTCAATAATGTCTTTGAAAACTAAGCATAGACTGACCCTGGGATGCGGCCATTCCTCTCCAAGAAGAGTTTCCAGAATACATATCTACATAAAACTTTGTGCATGAATTATTTTAGCAGCACTCTTTAAAACAGCCACAAATGGAATCAACTCTAATGCCCATCAAGTAAAGAAGGGACAGTCTGGGCTACATATACAAGGGAGTTTTTCCGACACAGAATAAAACAAGGATGCATGCTACATCATGTGTGAACTTTGAAGTTAGGCTGAGTGAAAAACCACACACAAAGGGTTGCATATTGTATGATAACATTAACATGCAAGAATCATAGGCAAATAAAATTTTGGATAAAGAGCAATGGTATCTGCTAAGGTAGAAGGGAGTGAAAATGGACCAGTAAAGGGAAGTTTTCTTTTGGGAGTTAGGAAATCATTCTAAAGGTAGACTAGATGTACATATCTGTAGAATGGTTGTATTTATCTGTGAAGACATTACAAACCCACGTTTATACACTCCTACAAGGAAGGATTTGTGGCCAGTAGAATGTAACTCAATAAAGCCATCTATAAACATGTCTGGTGTACCAGAATTTTTTGTTTTGTTTTGTTTTGTTTTTGGACAGGGTTTCTTTATATAGCCCTGGCTGGCCTAGTACTTAATGGTTACACCAGGCTGGTCTCAAACTCACAGGGATCTGTCTGCTTCTAGGATTAAAGGCATGTAACACCATGCCTACCTTGGTAAGCCAGACTTTTTCCTCACCTTCCATTTACTCTTTCAGATAAGAATCTGTCTTTGTACAGAGAGGCCCAAGGGCCCAGCTGTTCTAACCAGAGGACAACTTCTTCTGCTGTCCATTTGGCTACAGCCTTGTGCACCAGGAGGCCATGCTCAGATTCTTTGCTGCGCCAGTGATACACAAGTAGGATGACCTGAAAGGAGACAGGCTGTCAGAAGTGAAAAGTCATTTTTTGAGGGTATGAGTATGGGGCAGGGCAAGGAAGGGGCTGGGTCTGAGAAATGATGCTGGGTCTATTCAGGAAAGAAGACAGCCTCTGTCGTAGAGAAGTGAGGCCACAACACCTCCACGCTCACTTCTGCTAATGTCTGGGCAGAGACATCTGTAAAAGGGAGACAGCCCAGGAACAGTTGTATCCCTTACCTCACCAATTCAAATATCTTTTCTATGGGGAAACGTTAAGATTTTCAGAAGACTGGACTTAAGAAGTCTTTGCACCAGCAGGACATGTGTGCTCTTAAGAGTCTAGCATCAGTGTAGCTATGGTTTCTCAGTCTTGTTCTGCCCCTTTCCTCAGCTCTAAAATGAAGTCATCATGATGCTACTGCACAGGACAGGAAGAGGACCGAATAGGATCGAGCTAACACTTACCAAGCCAATGACTATTATATGACCTCTGTGGCCAAGATGCAATGCAATTTTAATGTCTACAATAAGTTACACATGATCACACCATCAACTGTTTTAAGTGACATGAGAACTGAGTTCAGAGGCAACTGGGGATGGCGCAGGGTGCAGATTAAACAGCCATACTTACTGCCACACCAGTTAAAGTTGTGAGTACACCGGAGAAGAATCCCCCTCCTCTCTGCTGATTCATTCGCCCTGTGCTGGGAGCTAAGGGACTCTGGTCATTCCCATATTTTTGAAAGGCTGCAAGACTTTGCACTATGTCATTATTCTGCTGAACGTCTTCAACTCGAATTCTAATGGCATCAGGAAATAACTTTTCAATGGCATCCCTGTGGAAAAGAGAGAAATCACTGGACAGGTGTTCGACAAAATATAGCATTCAGAAACTATACCCACTAATACAAACATTTCATAATCCACATAGGTGCCCAGAAGAGCAGCAAAGAATTTTACTTTATGATAAAAGGAAAAACTACAACAATCTATGTGCCCACCATCAAGAAAACGGACAAATGAAATGCTTAGATACACGTCTTTTTTCCTGGAAGTACTAGGGACTGAACTTAAGGGCTCATGTATGGCAGCAAAGTGCTTTAACCTCTGAATTACAGTCCAGCTCTTGACATTGCCAGTGTGGTGTGCATGCCTATAATCCCAGCACTCCTAGGGTAGAACTCTGAGTTCCAGGCTAGCCTGATCTACCTAGAGTTACAGGCTAGTTTGGGTGACACAGTGAGACCGACAATGATTACTTAAAATGATTTTGCGCATATATGTGTTCAATGTGTATGTGAGTGTGGTCATGCATATGTGGAGTGTTGGTCTAATGTTTTCTTTTAATGTACACACTTTACCCTTGTTCATTTAAATACTGATTTCTCCCCCACCCCACCCCCAACTCTCTGGTTTCAATCCGAATATTGTATTGTGATACTCATTCTAAGCATCCTGTCTCAACTCTTGTGTAAACAGGAACAAAATAAAGCAACTGGACACAATGTTGAGCAGGGAGGAGCCAGAGGACAGGAAAGAGGGGAGGACAGAAGGCGAGAGAGGAGTGGGAGGAGGAGAAGGGGGAGAGGAGAGCTAGGAGCAGAGCTGGAGGAGAGATCTTGGAAGACGTGGAGCATGAACCAGACCTAAGATTTCACAAAAAGCAAGTATAATGTGGGAAATCTAAATGTTAGGAAACTGAGGGCTTAGAGGTTTAGGAGGGAGTAAATATTGCCCAGCATTGTGTTCTAGGTTAACTAAAAACCCAGTCTCTGTGTGGTGATTTGGTTATACAGCTGTTTAAGATTAACAGCAAGCTTTACTAGAAGATAAATCAATAATAAATTTTAATAACATCATACAACAGTGGAGGTTAGATGACAGTTTTCAGGACTCTGTTCTATCATCAGCTCTGGACATCATGTTTGAGTGGCAAGTACTATTACCTGGTGAGCCTAAAATATACTACTGAATTCTTTTAGTAGAATACATATTTTTATAAATGTGCCTACTGGCCCACTCAGTGTCAAGCTGGATAATTTAGGACATGACAACAGTAATACTGCAATGTACACTGATAATATACCATTGTTATGAGAAAATACTAGCATTTTTCCATCAGCACATATATTGAAAAGTATCTGTTTTTATTTTTTATTTTTGAAAGAGGGTCTCATGCAGCCCAAGCTGGCCTTGAATTCCCCAGGATGACTGAGGATGACTGAGCTCCTAGATGCCCTTTATGCCCCTGCAAGCACTTCTTCAAAAGGCATTCTTTTGTTTTACAGGTTTACTTATTTCACGTGTGTGTGCCTGAGTATAAGTACAGGTGACTTATTTCCAGTATGGCATGTACCTGAGTGTAAGTATAGGTACCATACCTGGAGCTGGAGTTACAGGCATTTGTGAGCTGCCATGTGCGTGCTGGGAACTGAACCCAATTCCTCTGCAGGAGAAGTAGATTGTGCTTTTTAGCTCCTGAGTTCTCTTCCCCAGCCACTTTCAACACTTAAAAAACTGAATGAAATTACAACTAAGTCATAACTGAAATTACTCTGCAGCAAAAGGAAAGGATTCTAAGACATTAGATATGACTGTTAATGCCTGTATCCCCAGCATTCAGGAAGCCAAATAGGGTGATTTTTGTGGTTTTGAGGTCAGCCTGGGCTGCAGAGTGACACTCTGTTTCAAAAATCCAACAAAAATTAAAAGTATATAAACGTATATATGTGTATGGCTTATGCTATCATAATAAAAAATAGTTTACAGAAATGAACGATGAAGTTCAGTTGGAAGAGTATTCTATAGTTTTTTTTTTTTTTAAGAGATTTATTTATTAATTATCTACAATGTTCTGTCTGCTTGTATACCTGCATGCCAGAGGAGGGCACCAGATCTCATTCTAGGTGGCTGTGAGCCACTATGTGGTTGCTGGGAATTGAACTCAGGACCTCTAGAAGAACCTCTGAGCCAACTCTCCAGCTCCCAGTTTTTTGTTTCTTTGTTTTCGACAGAAGTGTTATTTCCCACTTTTAAAAACATTTAGGGTTTTTGTTTTGTTTTGTTTTGGGAGGGGGGGCTTTTTGAATTTCCCTGTGTAGCCCTGGCTATCCTAGAACTCACCCTGTAGACCAGGATGGCCATGAACTCAGAGATCCACCTGCCTCTGCCTCTGCCTCTGCCTCTGCCTCTCAAGTGTTGGGATTAAAGGAGAGTGCCACCACTACCTGGCTTAGTTTCTTTTTAGTTTTGTTTTTGAAAATTTCACACAGGAATATTGAATTTCAGTTCTAGGGGAACTGATACCTTCATCTGACTTTCTTGGGCAGCAGGCACAAATAAGATGCACATACATACATGCAGGTAAAACATCACACATACAAAAAATAAAAAGAAACCAAAACCAAAGCAAACCAAACAAAAATTGGAAAGGACCTATTGCATGGAAGCAAGGAAGAACCAGCCATGTGAAAGAATTGGTGGCTGGTTGTGAAAGAAACTCCACCAAGTAATGACAGCCATGTTTTATTTACAGATTATGAAAATTAGCATCAGTTACATTCTAATCCTACAGTTTCATCAGTTTCTTCATAAGTATAAATAAGTAAGAAGTGTTCTAGAATAGAGGATACAAACAAAGGTCATAACCAGAAATTTATTTCTGTTCCTTCCTACAAAAGCTGAACAACAACAACAACAACAGCTGAACAAAATAATCAGCTAGACATGGTGGCCTGTGCCTATAACTCCAGCATTTGGGAAGTAGTCAAGAGGACCAGTGTGAGTTTGAAGCCAGCCTGAGCTAAGTGAGACCCATAATCAAAAATTAAAGAACAAGATGTGTTTAGAGGGCAACAGGAAAGGGCAATGGGAGTGGAACTCAGGAGATAGGCAGATCTATCTCTGAGAGTTTAAGGCCAGCTTCATCTACACAGCAGGTTTCATGCCAGCCAGGCGTGGTATAGTTGAGACCTCACCAAGAAGATAAATAAATAAAACTAAACAAAACAGAAGAACAGATGACAATTACTTATAAGAAAAGGAATCTGGCCGGGCAGTGGTATCACATGCCTGTAATCCCAACACTCAGGAGGCAGAGGCAGGTGGATCTCATGAGTTTGAGGCCAGCCTGGTCTACAAAGTGAGACCAAGAAAACCAACACTACACAGAGAAATCCTGTCTAGAAAAACAAACAAGTAGGAAAACAAAACAAGAAGGGAAGGAAGGAAGGAAGGAAAGGAAGGAAGAAGGGAAGAAGGGAAGAAGGGAGGGAGGAAGGAGGGAGGGAGGGAAGGAGAGGGGAATCTGGTTTTTTGGTTCCAAACTCCTAAATGATCTACCCTAAGCCTGCTCCTTTTCAAATAGCAGTTCACACAGAGAAATCATGCTGCACATCCATGCTGCCAACAGAATCCAGTGTTACCTGAGGAGAATGTTGACTTTGGGGAAACCTTCCCATTTTTCTCTGCATTCTGGACACTCTGTCTTCTTTGAAGATATCCACCATAATGCTAGGCAGTGCCGGCAGAAGCTGTGGCCACAGTTCAAGGTAGTGGGGTTAACCAGGATGTCATAACAGCAGTGGCAGGAAAATTCACTAACAGAAATCTGAGGGCTGGTGCTTCTGACAGGATTATCTTCCTCCTGCCTGGTAATGTTCAGGTCATTTTTCTGAGGCTCCTCCATCTCTCAGCAAATTCTGGGATTCACACACATAGAACCTTTCATACTCAGGACACTGCTGTAATACATAATAAAGTCTAGGGGGAGAAGCAATAAGAGAGGATGAATAGTAGCTGTGTATGTCATTCTAGTAACGTTCAATTCTTAGCAACCACATGGTGGCTCATAACCATCTATAATGAGATCTGGCACCCTCCTCTGGCCTGGTGGCACACATGCAGGGAGAATACTGTATAAATAAATAAATCTTAAAAAAACAACAACACGTAATTCTTACAAAGTTTTTTTTTTTTTTGGGGGGGGGTGTCTCATATAGCCTAGGTTGGCCTCAAACTCCAGATCCTCCTGCTTCAAGCTCCTGGAAGCTAAGAACACAGGTGTGTGCCACCATACTTGGTTTCTGTGAGGCTGGGGATTGAACCCAGGGCTTCATACATGCTAGACCGAACTCAATCAACTGAGCTGAGCTATATCTCAAAATAATAAAATCAGAAACAGCACCCCACACCCAAAAAAGGCGTGAGGCAAAGGGCACATCTTACTTCTACTGTTAAGTTTCTTTGTCTTGTTGTTGCCACCACACTAGCCACAAAGACAAGGGCTTCCTCATTAAGTTTGGAGACACCATGTTAACAAACAATGTACACCTGTTTAGGAATTGAGGAGGATTATAGGAGTTTGGTTTGAAACTAGCTTGAAAACATATGAAGACCATGTCAAAACAATAAAAGTTGACCATGGTAGCTTACAACTGTAATTCTGGCACCAAGGAGTCTGAGGCAGGAGAACTGCCTCCAGTAGAAGACCAGCTGTGAGGGCTACACAGTTATGTTTTAACTTATAGATCTCTTACTGTCTTTAAGAGATCTAGAAAACAGCCAGGGACTAGAGATATGGCTCAGTGTTTAAGAACACTGGCTGCTCTTCCAGAGGTCCTGAGTTCAATTCTCACAAACCACATGGTGTATCATAGCCATCTATAGTATGATCTGATGCCCTCTTCTGGCATGCAGGCATACAAGCAGACAGAGCATTTGTATACATAAAATAAATAAATCTTTAAAACAGCATAGCGCTACACAGAGAAACCCTGTCCCCCAAAACCAAGAGTCCATCATGGCAGGGAAGCATAGCAATAAACAGCAGCCATCAGGACTGGACCAGGATGCCGAGAGCTCACACCTTGAACCACAAGCACAAAGCAGAGAGCTAACTAGCTGTGATGCCACACTTTAAGAGTCCATCCCCAAGTGATACACTTTCTCTAGCAAAGCCACACCTCTTAAACCTATCCAAACAGCTCTCTCCACTAACTGGGACCAATTCAAATGCTTAAAACTCTGGGAGACATTTACCATTCATTCCAACAAGATATTAATGTCTGGGTCTAAGGAGGCAAAAACCAAAAGGCAGGGACTAGGGATAAGTCCTGTGGGACAGTGAAGAAAACGTAGAATGTTAAGAAAATAAATTAAAAATTAAGAGGAAGGGGAGATGGCTCAATCATTAAAGTGCCTGCCATGTAAGCATGAGTTTGGGGCCTCAGCACCCATGGAAATTTAGGCAAGGTGGTATGCAGGTTTATAATCTCACTATCAGGGAACCAAAGACAGGGAGATCCCTGGGGCTCACTGGCCAATCAGTATAGCTGACTTGATTTCAGTTAAGTCCCTGTGTCAAAAAATTAAGTGGACACCCTTTTTTGCAGACCAGGCTGGCCTCAAACTCATAGAGATCTGCCTGCCTCTGCCTCCCAGAGTGCTGGGATTACAGGCGTGTCCCACCGAACCCAGCTTTCACTTTGGTTTTTGCCTTTTAGATTAGAATTTGCAATGTAGTTCATACTGTTCCCAAACTGACCAAAAGCCTGTAGCTTCAGCCTTCTGAGTGCCAGGGTTAGTTACACTTATACACTACTATGCCTGACCATTTTGAAGTTATGTTAGGTTCATTTTAATTTAAATTCAAAATCTTTCCTTTTTTTTGTTTTTTGAAACAGGTTTAAACACATGTGCCACCACCATCTGAAACAGTTGATAGCCACCACACTGACTTTGTAAGGAGTTGAATTAAGTAAAGGCAGAACTGCTAGGATTAAAGGCATGTGCCAACACACTTGGCTTAAATTCAAAATCTTAAAAGTGACTGGTATAGTGGTTCATAACTGTAATGCAGCACCCAGAAGGAAGAGGCAGTAGAATCACAAATTCAAGAAAAACCAGGCCACATAGTAAAACCTTGCCACAGACAACTAACCCTGGAAGCTACCACAAACTGTACAATGCATCCCTCAGTTCAGGTTCTTCTCTGCTCCTGTGTGAACTAGTTATTTCCATGCGTAAGAAACCAGTGCTTTTAGAGAAGAACAACAAAATCTAATTGTGACACTCAAATTACAAGATCTAGTGTTGTGGCTCTGAACACATCCTGCTGCCCTGGCAATACATAAAAGGCCTCTTTGAAAAACCTACCCACCTGAGTGTAAAAAAATAACTTTTATTCCCCTGTTTCAATTGTTGTCTGGGAGGCTTACTGCCTCTTTTTGCTAACCTAGGCCTAGTCCTGGAAGCTTCTAAGCCTCTGCACAATCTAAAGCCTAGACCGTGTTTGGCCCATGGGACACTTTTGTGTCTTGGCTTTTTGAGACAGGGTTTCTCTGTGTAGCTTTGGCTGGCCTGTCATGTAGAAAGGCTGACCTAAAACTCACAGCAATCCTGCCTGCCTCTTTCTCCCTGAGTGCTGGGACTAAAGGTGTGTGTCACCATGCCTGACTTAATAAACTCACCCTTTCTTGTGCTTTCTGAGCTCATTAGCTGGCTGGTTCAACTCAGCTGTTCTGGCTCAAACTCCTCTCCCAGCTGATTTATTCAATATGGCTTCTCTCTTGACCTCTGAATCGATGTTTGGCCTCAAATTAACTCCAGCAATCTGATCTAATCTCCTGGCTCCTTCTCATTCTCTGGCTTCTTCTGTCTTCACTTATGTCTAGCTTGTTCTCTCTGCAATCTGTCTCTCTATTACTGTCCCTGTAAAATTTCCTCTCCCTCTCTGCATTGCCCCTTAAGTAGCTTCCCTTCCTCTCTACTCATGAGAGTTGGGCGTATCCTATTCTTTCAAATCTTTCTGGTCACTTTTTCTGCCACTCAATTAGACGTGACTTTCAAATATGGGTGCTTCCTTCTACAAACTAAAGTTTGGGACTAAAGGTGTGTAGCACTGCATCTGGACTTAAGCTTTTCTCTAGTTGGAACTTGAACCCAGAAATATGCATGCTTCTGACTCCTGGATTAAAGGTGTATTTCCATTCTAGCTAAATCACACAGACCTAGAAGGTCTTTGTATATGATCTCTTGCCAGAGCAGCCATATTCTGAATTCAAATTCCCCTACACTTGAGGATGTTTACAGTGTGTTCTGTTAATGTGGCCAGACCGGAATCACTGTGAGTGAGCTGCTTCTCAATGAAGCTTCATTAGAAGGCTACCTTGCCCTTCACCCGTCTTTCTTTCACCTCAAAGGCCCTGAAGAAGACGTGAGGCGACATGGACAAAGCTGAGCTCAGGGAAGTTTTTCCACTCACACTTCCAGTGTCCTCTTGTTCACAGGATACTGATCAAACTACACATGTTAGTTACCTAGTTCAAAACTAATGGTAAGGTATACCTGAGTGTGGGAAAGCCTATTGATCAGCAACTGAAACAGCGTATGGCAGGCTGGCCCATGGGAGAGTGCAGCAAAACTCTAGGAGTCTGCACAGGAACTGAACCATTCCAAAAAGCTGGCATTTCCAAATGAACAGCAGGGTCTTCAACTGGAGCTTAAAGATGGCAAGTCAGGTCTGAGTTCTGTGCCTTCCTATGTGCATGGAATGGGCATTTGCTGCATGGCAGCCTGAGAATTGTTAGGTTCTCAGGAGGGATGACTACCAAGACAAGATTAAAGATTATTTTACCAACAGGATAAGTGTCTTTACAAATTACACTCTCCTACTTTGAGAGTTGGTTAGAATGAACCAGAAGGGGCCCTTCACAATGACCAAGTATTACTGCCAAGTGGCAACCATTTCCTTCCTACATTAGCCTTTGTCAGTAGCCACCAACATGCTTAAGCAACATCTGGTCTACAACTTGCTGGCTTTCTTAGGATGTCTTTTCCTCTCCTGCCCCTCCATTTTTTAAAAACAAGCTCTCAGTATGTAGCCCCCAACTGTTTTTGTTTGTTTTGTTGAGACAGGGTTTTGCTACGTAGCCCTGGCTGTCCTGGAATTCACTATGCAGACCAAGCTAGCCTAGCTTCCACAGACCCACCTGCCTCTGCCTCTGAATGCTGGGACTAGAGGTGTGCACCACCAAGCCCAGCTTCCAGCTGGTTTTAAAAGTAAATTTGAAGGTGGGTGTGGGCACGCACAGTTGCCATCCCAGAAACTCTGGGAGGTGGCAGCAGGATGACTATGAAGGGCCTGAACATAACAGACTCCATTTTGTCATGGGCCTTCCTTTTATACGTGACCTAAAACTTAACCCTGCTACAGAAAAGCATGTTATACTTATAGAAAGACACAACATTTCTGAGAATGACCACAAAATGTGCCTACCCTGAAACCAGCTGCAGGTCAAAACAATGGTTGTCCTATGGTTACTAAAACAATTACATGTTGTCATTCTGGTTACCAAAATCATTGCTCCAGATGGTTACAGCTTGCCTCTAACCAATCACTATCTAACAAGCTTGCTCTTGCTGGATGTCACCCAATTATGTAACCGCCAAGTCTGGAGGCCCCTTCCCCTTGCTAAAAACCCTATAAAACCCAGCTTTCTAGGCTCAGGGCTCCTAGTCTCTGACTGATGTGTTATTTCATGCTGGGAGCCTGAGCTTAAGCCTGAAATAAAGGCTCTTTGCTTTTGCATACGATTTCTAACTCCTGGTGTGGTCAGTGGTCTTTTGGGGTTTCGAAAACTGGGTGCAACAACTAGTAGTTCATGGTCATCCTCCAGACACACAATACAAGGCCATCCTGGGCTACATAATTTCTTGTCTCTCACAGAGTCAATTTGGCAACATTAAAATCAATTTGGTTT